GGCTGGCGAGTGTTCCTTGTCTCATTTTTCATTTCATTTTCTGCAGTTTCTGAAAGGAGGTCAGATGCTCTGTATTAAGTTCGCGTTGCAGTTTTGCTTTGTGGTACCTTCTGTCTCAAAGCTGGGTAAGGCAGATTGTTGTGCAAATCTTTGTTTATTTCAGTAAGAAATGAGTGTATATATACATATGTATATATAAACACACATATATATACATATATATAGATATACACACACACACACATACACTCTCACAGTCACATTTTGCAGCCAGTTTGCAAAGAATCATGGAATATTCATTTTATTTGTGAAGAGTTAAGAAAGGAAAGTGTGCAAGCAAAGGATGCACCAGCCGTATACATATTTGCAGGTCATCGGTCTTGACCGAGAGCTATTCTGACTTCAAAGTCATATCAGAATATTCTTGGCAATGGCAAACTGCACCTTTTCAAAAAAAAAATTCAGATTAGTCCTCCACTAATTGATTCCTCTTCTACAATTATATGCAAGACCTAAAATTGAAGTTTATGGTGAATTTCAAGTTTCCAAATTCAATTCAACAATATTTATTGCCTCTCTGATCCACTAAGAACTGCAGGGGATAAGCAGATGTGGTAAGATGGCCTGTGCCCTCAAGGAGTTTCAAATTTAGTAGCAGGAATAAGACAAATACAGCGTAATTACAACTACAAGGAAGAAAGTGATGAATGGTGCAATGCAGTGGTTATCGACCTTGACTGCATATTGGAATCACCTGGGGAGATACAAAGACACCAGAGGTTCTTCCCCAGAGGTTCTGCCTTAATTGGTTGTGGGGGGAGTGCAGCCAGGGGACTGGGATTTCAGAAAAGCTTTCCAGGTGATTCAAATGCGCAACCAAGGCTAAGTACCACTGGCAAAGAGCATCCAAGAGATGTCCAAGAGATATTTTGGATTGGCTGTGAGTAAAAAAGGCTTACATAGCATTTGAGAAGAACCCTGAAAAGTGGGTATGATTCTAGCAGGCAGAGGAATTTGGGACTGAAAGGTGGTGTCTGAGGAGGAGGAGGAGCGTGAGAACAGCCACAGAGGCATGAAACGGGGGAGCGTGCATTTAGGAGCCGTGTGGGGACCACCTGCGCATGAGCTGGAGTATCTCGTGTCTGGGAAGGGGCAGACGGAGGGATACTGAGGTGGGGTAAGGTGTGAAGGACCCTGAGCTGGAGGATCCTGGTTCAAGTTTGTTTTCTGTTTTCAGCTGTGCCTCCAAATCTTCAGGGATTTGAGTCGAATCTGATGGGGAGGAGTTCAGCAGAAGACACAAAAAAGAGCTCATGTTGGGAAAAAGGATGAATTCAATATCCGAAAAAACCACCACCTTATAGATTGAGGAGGAGCCTTGAAGGTAGTTCAGTTATGTTTATTTTCCAGATGAGGAGGCCCTAAAGGAACCGACCTGTGACAACTACCTGACTAGTTAGTGAGCTGTCATG